CACTGGCAAAATGTAAAAACAAGCAAACAAAAAACACTCACTCACGGGCTTTTGAAGTTGACCAGCGACATATGAAGTATTCCAGTTGAGGAGATCTTCAATCAGGACACTAGTGCTAATCACCCCATATTTGATAAGCTACAAAAGAAAAGAAATGAGTAAGATAAAAAGCAAATACTTACTTACACAAGTACAAAATATAAGAAATCAAATTCTTTTTCTCAGAGAGATTTTTGCTATAGAGTGTGTGTGCTCACCAGAGAGAAACAAAGAGACAGAAAGAGACAGAGAGACAGAAAATGAAAAATCCCTCCCACACCCCTATCCCCCGGGGAATGGCCACATTGCAATCCCTTCTCCTCCATTCTCCACTCAGGATCTTGGGCACACGCTCCCATGCACCCCGCATGAGTTTTAAGCCGCCAGGTCTGGGACTCAAACCATGGTTGACTATGTGGGAGTCCAGTGATTAATTATTCCATCTGCTGGTCCCAAGTAATCAAATTCTTTACCAGAGTAGTGCTCTGACTTCCAAAGCCACTCAGGCATGCCTGCCTTGTGAAACACACACTTCCACCAGAACTGTTCAGAGGTTTGTCCAGGACTGACTCGCCCTCAGGTCTGTGAGGCGAGAGGACCACTACTCTCACTTAGGACCATACGAGCTAAGGCAGAACGGCTCTTAGGCGCCATCAGTACTGGTGCTCGAGGGATTAGAATGAAAAGCTGGACTTTGCCCATTGACAGTTTGAGAAGGGATGGTTTAGTTGCTCTTCATTTGAGAAACAAACCGAGGCCCAGAGAGAATGAATGACCTGCTCCAGGTGGTACTGGAAGTAGCAAGGTCAAAACCAGGCCCAGACCTTTGTTCTCATCTTCCAAAGTCCTTTTCATTAGCGTTTTCAGTGAGCCAGCAGGTACCTTGAAGGTTAAGGAGACTAGATTCCACATAGCCAACTCCATGGTTCAAGTCCCAAACCTAGCAGCTTGAAAAACAGGTAGGGGCTGGCAGGTGACGTGCTGGTTAAGGGTACTAGACTCCCCAATGACAACTGTGGCATGAATCCCGGACCTGATGGCTTGCTTTCTCACTTTCTCTTTCTCTCCCATGCTCTATCCTTCTCTGGTCAAGTAGAAATAAATAAGTAAATAAAGTTTAAGAAAATAATTTAAAAAAAAATACCAGGCACAAGTGTGTGCATGTCTAAAAATCCCAAGAGGAAAATGGAGGAAAAAGGATTGCAATGTGACCATCCCCCCAGGGGGTGAGTTCACTTTCCATTTCTCTCTTTCTGTCTCAGTCTCTCTCCAGTGAGGGCATGCACCCTATAGCAAAAACTAAAAAAGAAAAAATAAAAGCTTTTGAGCTGGCCCTGTAGCCTAGTGTTTACGGGAGATGGATCCCACATGGCCACCATAGTTTGAATTCCAGCCCTGGTCGCCTGAAAAACACACCAGGAGAATGTGTGCTTGCATATCCCACATCCCAGGGATGGAGAGAAAGAACTGCGGTGTGACCATGCCCCCTTGGGAGGTTTCTCCCTCCCTGCTTCTCTGGCAAGTGCACATGCTCTCCGGCAATTAAAAAGAAAGTATTCAGTGACATCCTTTACATGGTGACTATCTCCTCTGCTACTGACTATTCCAAAAACTTTTATAATTATGAAGACACATTCATAAATAAAACCTTTTTATCAGGGCTAAACATGTGTAATTATGATCAAGTCCATGTTGATAACACTGCATAAACCCTGAATGTCGATTTCCTGGGTTCCAATGTCCCGTTGTAGTGTCAGCATAATATTAATTATGGAGACAGAACAAAGCTACGTGTCTCGCATTCCTAAAGTGGAAGTGGAAAGCTGTGCTGGATAACCACCTCCTTCCCTCCAGCCTAGCTGCCTCCTGCAGAAAGCCCATCTCACAGCAGGCAAGTAACAGCGGGAAAGCAGGGGGAACACCACTGGTCCGGAAAGAGGGTCTGACACTGACTAGCTGCGTGGCCTTAAGGAAGCCATTTCCTCTTTCTGAACCCAATTTCCTCATCTACACAATGCAGGTGGAGCAGGATTGGACCTTCACTAGGAAAGCAAATACCGTCAACCCATGAGTTCTGCACATGCACATTCAACCAACCACAGACAAAACGCCATGCTGTTGCTGGCCTGTACTTTGTAGGTAGGCCTCTGATGGTTGTATCCTCACTCGACATGCACAGATGTACATCTGTATTATTATCCTCCAGACGATACAGCCTAATAACATTTACATAGCACTAACATTGTATTAGGTATAGCAAGCAGTCCAGAGATGACTTAAAGCACAGGGAGGATGTGCACGGGCCACACGCAAATGCTATGCCTTCTGGATAAGGGACCTGAACATCTGTAGATTTCCGTATCTGCAGAGGTGCTGTAACCAATCTCCCACGAATACCAGGGGATGACTTTACATGGCCTGAAGAGTATATTCAGACATCCCCAGTCAATCCCACCACTCACTGCCCAGCCAAGTTTAGATGGATCTTCAAGCCCTTCTCAAGTGAGCACACAATCTCCTGCCATTTGGAGTGGGGTCCTTTGACCACTGGCATCAGCATCAGCTCGAAGTTTGTAAAAAAAACAAACAAACAAACAAACAAAACAGAATTTCAGGTTCCATCCCAGACCAACTGAGTGAGAGCCTACTCTTCATTTTATTTTTAGAGAGACTTTTGCTACAGGGTACTTGTACTCACTGGACAGGCAGAGAGAGACAGGTGAGAAATCACCCCCAGGGGGAATGGCCATGCCACAATCCCTTCTCCTCTCGGGATTTTGGGCACGTACACACCTGGCTTGAATTTTAAGCCACTGGGTCCAGAACTCAAACCATGGTTGACTGAGTAGGAGTCCGGCAAAGAGCCTGCTTTTCGACAAGTCCCCACATGATTCATACACATGTCAAAGTCAAGCTGCTTTAAGCAACCAGCAGTAGAGCTGGTATGGCAGGTGGAAACCAGATGTCTTTCCTAGTCCAGCTCATCACCAGAGGCATCTGATTTAGACCTCACTGGTCTCTGCAGGCTGGGGGCCTGCTTAGCTCTTAGCAGCCTTCCTAGAGATTGGGGTGTGGTCAGACAAGCCATCTGTGGGAATCCGTGGATCTTACCTGCTCCCCTGCTCTCCAACACCCCTCTGTCACATTCCACCCACGAGCTGGCACGAGGAAAAACAGTCAGTCACATTGCCCCACACGGTAATAACAGAGGAGGGGAGATTAGGACCCCAGTTTCTGATGTTCGGGGGTTCAAGACCTCTCGTAAGAATGTGAACTTTTCCTGACTGCAAGAACATATCTGTTTAGCTGGTATTCCAATAATAAAAGTGAACCACCACTTACACTAAGACAAAGGCCTGAAGTTGAGACCAGCAGATGGCATAGCGGTTATATCGCTGGACTCCCACATGGTCGGCCACATGGTCGGCCGTGGTGCATGGCCAGTCCCTCAGGGGTGATTTCTCACTTTCCCTGTGTCTGTCTGTCTCTCAGTCTTCAGTGAGTGCAGGCACCCTAAGGCAAAAACCTAAAAAAAATAAATTAATAAAGACAAAGGGCTGAAGTCACTTACCCGATCATCACACGTGATCAGCGGGTTGTAGTAAACTCCAGCACCATAGTTATTCTGGATGGATGTGATGATCCTGGGCCCCAGACTTTTCAGGAAAGCGTAGTGGCTCCAGTTTTTCTTCAGGTTCTTTGAATGCCACATAACGGGGTCCTCTACTGTAAACATAATGTCCAGAATGGCATTCTGTGAGGTGAGGAAAAGAGAAGGGCTTCAGGATTAACTCTTAGAAAGGAAGCAGAGGGGACCAGAAGGTGGTGTGGTGGTTAAGTCGCTGGACACTCCCACATGCCTGACCACGGTTCAAATCCCGAACCTGATGACTTGCTTTCTCACTTTCTTTCTCTCTCTGTATTTCTCTCTGGTCAAATTAAATGAATGAATAAATAAAACATTAAATATATAATTCTTTTTAAAAAAAGGAAGCAGAGAGTGAAAAGGCCGGAATACTAGGCCACTATGACTAGCAGTCAGAAGACCTAGAGGTGTCATCAGAAACTTACGCAATTCTCTGGAGCTTCTCTGCACTTTATCGATATGAATAGTAACAGCAAACACTCAACATTATCTGTGTTCTCAGGACTCAATACTTGGGACATAATATGCAAGAGGACCTCCAACAGTTTGTAAAAGAAAAAATGGAATTAAATAGTTTATCTTGGTGCCAAAAAAAATACCCTTCAAATCGATGTATAGGTTTTCTATACTATGCATTTTCCACAAACTATTTTTTCAGAGATTTAATTTTATTTATTATTATGATTTTAAATTTTGCTATAGGGCACATGTGTGTGAGAGAGAGAGTGAAGAGATAAAGCAAGCTGCCAGGTGCAGGACTTGAATCACAGTCAATCATGTGGGAGTTCAGTGTTTTAAGCCATGCCACCTGCTGGCCCTCCACAAACTTTTAAAGATTCCTCATATATAACACATCACTGCATTCTCAAAACAATCCTGCAACAGTCCCAATTTTATAGGAAAGGAAACCAAGGCATGGGGGAAGCTCTTTGCCCAAGGACATGCAGCTAGCTAGTGGCAGGCCTAAGGAGAGCAGGTCCCAGCTCTGTGAGCCAACCACTGTACAACCTGCCTTTCAGCTAACCGTGCTCCACTTCCCTTCCAGATCTAATTAACACTATATGGAAAATCTCTAAAACCTTCCGTGAAAGTGAGTTACTCTCACTCATTCACCACTCATTAATTTTCCATGAGCCCTGGCAGGTCGTAGGTAGAAGAGCTCAGGGTTCACTGCAGAAGAGAACAGACACAGTAGCACTAAATTGACCTGATAGAGGAGTGCCCAATCTACTGACCTCGCTCCGAATGGGAGTCCCTAGCCGTGAAAAATGTGAATCTCAAAGAACGTGAGCTTTAAACAGGCATGGTGGAAGCACTAGGGAACTGGGGAAGGGCAGGGAGTCACGTTAAGAGGAAACTGCTCCCATGGATATGCGATCCAGACCTGCTCTGGGAACTGCAGTTCGACAGCTGGAATAGAACCCCTCTATGTGGTGGAAGATGAGACCCGAGAGGGGTGCCGTTAGCCATGCTACAGAATGCTCCGGCAGAACTGGTTGGAGGAAGAAGAGGCTAAGGGTGGGGGAACCAGACAGGAAGCCACTGCAGGATTCCAGGTGAGAAATGAACAGCTACTGTACCCTAAGGACTGGGGGTAGGGACCAAGTTGAGATTTAGGTATCAGAATACAAGACTGCCATTGAGATGTAGTGAATTAGAGTAAAGAAAAGAGAAGGATTTTTTTTTCTTCTTGGTGGGAAGCCAGATATGCTCAAAGAAAAACCTTGATGGGACCAACAGTTAGCATAATGGCTATGTCGCTGGACTCCCACGTAATCAACTGTGGTTCGCGTCCCGGACCTGGTGGCTTAAACTCACACCGGGCGCGTGTGCGTGCGTGCCCAAGATCCCGAGAGGAGAATGGAGGAGAAGGGATTGCGGCATGGCCATCCCCCCGGGGGGTGATTTCTCCCTTTCTGTCTCTCTCTCTCCGTGTTCCTGGCAAGCACACGTGCCCTATAGCTAAAACCTCTCAAAAAAAAAAAGAAAGAAAAGAAAAGAAAAAAGAAAAACCTTCACTCATACCAGGCGCTTGTGCGTGCTTGTCCAAAATCCTGAGAGAACGGACGAGAAGGGATTGTGGCATGGTCACCCCACCCTGGGGGCTGATTTATCACTTTCTATCTCTCTGGCAAGAGCATGGGCCCTAGAGCCAAAATCTCTCTGGAGATGGGGGGAGGACAAAAAACTTCATGGAAAAATGACAAGGCTGTATTAGGGGGCAAAAGCCTTGTGAAACTCCTGCTGACACTTGGGATTTGAGAGACACAGGCCCAGCTGCGGAGGTGGACCGTACACTCTGCAAGGTTGGAAGTCATACAGAAGAGCGGGTTTCAGTTCTTTGCTGGGTCTTTTTTTTTTTTTTTTGGAGGTTTTTGCCATAGGGTGCATGCGCTCTTCAGACAGAGAGAGATAGAGATACAGAAAGTGAGAAATCACCCCCCAGGGGGGATGGCCACGCCACAATCCCTTCTCCTCCATTCTCCTCTCGGGATCTTGGGCATGCACGCACATGCACCTGGCGTGAGTTTAAGCTACTGGGTCCAGGACTCGAACCACAGTTGACTACATGGGAGTCCAGTGACAGAGCCATTACGCTAACGGCTGGTCCCTTTGTTGGATCTTTACACAGAAGATCAGGGGTTGCTCCTGAGACCTTGTTGAGGGTCCTTGTCTTTCACTCTATCTCATGAACAAAAGAAAGTAACCTTTAAAAAAAATTTGGGAAACATGGAAAAGCATGTTTGTTTTTTTTTTAGAAATTATGTAACTGTTTATTAAAACAAATAACTGACTTATAATAACCTGCATTGTATGTGTGTGTGTGTGTGTGTGTGTGTGTGTGTGGGTATATATATATATATATATACACCCACCACCTGCAATTTCTCACGGGTTACTAATTTAAGGGAAAATATTAAATACCAGTATGGGTGGGAAGCAGGAAATCCAAGTAAAAGGCAAGTTGGCCTCAACAGGAAGTGAACAGTCAATCTTTAACAGACTTGATCACATCCAGGCCCTACTGCAGTCTGCACGGGAAATTCTGCAAATCACAAGGAAAGCCATGCCTCTCCTTAATGCTGTTGGGCTCAGCCAACACCAAAGAAGGCCAACTTCTGCCCCCAGCAGACACTGCCCTTACATGTGCTGAGCGTGGATAAATACACCCGCCACTCACTCACTTCTGCTGCTAATTATCTTCACTGCACCTGCCCTGGCCCTGCAGCCAGAAGCCAGAGGATCATTCTCTATTTCCTCTTGCAGCTAGCAACTCAACCTCGGCTGTGCAGTAGCATCACCTGGGAAGTTCATAAAGTCCTGGAAGCCGTGACCTTATTACAGAATCAGCATCTCCATGGGTGAAACCCAGACATGGCTAGTTTTTTAAAGCTCCCCCGAAAATCCCAATATTCAGCCAAGGCTGAACACCCCAAAGGACAACCCGATGACTATTTCTTTTCTTCCATCTCACCTCTGCTTTTCCCTCCGCCTCAGGGCGTCTCCTGCTCTAGTCCGAAGGGGACTCCTATCCTTGGACATCAGCTCACGCGGTCGTGATAGGAAGAGCACTTCCTGCGGTTCGTGCTCTGCTAGTTGTCACGTGGAGTTTGCTGGGTGGAAGAGCTGCTCTAAGGCTCCGAAGGGATCAAAGCCACGGGGCACTCGGGTCAACAGGCAGAGTCCCGGCGTGGCCTGACTGCGGAGCTGCCCCGGAGGGTGCGGTCTCCGAGGCCGGGTTCACCTTCTGGTTTGAATTGAGCCCCGCCTGGCGGTACACCCCGGAGCCATAGGCGAAAGCCAGGCTCAGCTCCTCGGGGAAGTGAGGTAGCATCTTGCGAAAAGTCACTCCCGAGCTCTGCAGCGCCTGCAGGGCCCTGGGGCCGGGCCAGGGAAGAGGCCCCTTGGCAGAGGAAGGCTCGACGTAGCCGGGCAGGGAGCGGACACCCTGGCAGTGGTGAGGTTGGGAAGCGGGGCCGGCCCGAACAAGAGGAGGCCAAGGCTGGGGAAGAGGCCCCTTGGCAGAGGAGGGACGGGGCCGGGGCCGGGGCCGGGGAAGAGGCCCTTTGGCAGAGGGGGACCGGGGAAGAGCCCCCTTGGCAGAGGAAGGCCCGACGTAGCCGGGCAGGGAGCGGACGCCCTGGCAGTGGTGAGGTGGGGAAGCGGGGCCGGCCGAACAGGAGGAAGTCGGTAGTCGGGGGAGCTCCAAGGACTGGGAAGTCGTTAGGCGCCAGCACCGACCGAGCCTGTGAGGAACGTGGGACTAGACTCCGGTGGGCGGCGGTTTCGCTGCCCGGCGTCTGCCTTGGCCACGCCCCCCGCACGCACGCGCGCTTCAGAAGAGCAAGATGCGGAGCTGTCCGCGGTGCAGGGATGCGCGGGCGTCGCAGAGACCCCTGGTGGTCAGAGGAGTGCACTGCAGCCTGGTAACCTAGACTCACCGCTTGAACAAATGATTGGGAGTATGAACTCAATTCTGTGCACAGCTCTTGAGCCAAGGAACCCTTCTTTGTAATTCTCCCCTCAAACCACGTTGTAAAAAATGAATATAAAATTATGTCTATAGGGCCAGATGGTAGCGTGATGGTTGGAGTGATTGGGTCCCTCATGGTCAGCGAAGCAGTTCTAGTCCCAGACCTGGGGGCTTGAAAATCTTATCAAACTTGGGGGCATGTGTGCCCAAAATCCCAGAGGAGAATGGAGAAGAGGGGATTGTGGCATGGCCTTCTGCTCTGAAGGGTGATTTCTCACTTCCCCTTGTGCTCTCTCTCTCTCTCTCGCTCACTCTCTCTGGAAAGTATATGCTCTCTAGCAAAAACTAAGATGGAGAAGGAGAAAAGAAAGAAAAGGAGATAGAAAAAAATCATGCCTATGGGGCTGGCTTGTGGGGCTGTGGTTAATTGCTGTGCAGAGGTAGCCAGATCCCATGTAGTCAACAAGGGTTTGAGTCCTGACCTGCTGGCGTACAAGCCTGGACACCCAGGATCCTGTGGAATGGAAAATTGTGGGAATCTCTCCTCTCTCTCTCTCTCTCATATGCATGTGTCCTCTGGCATAATAAAAATGGAAATCATGCGTGTATATTGCAGAGTTTTTTAATGAGGCAAAACTCCCATGCTACACAAGGAACCGTTCTGAAGTGTACAATTCGGTAGCATTTAGTACATTCACAATGTTGCATAACCATCGTCTCTAGTTCCAAAACTGCACAATATTTTGAAGGTTTAGAAAAACACAAGTAAAATGAAAAGCATGCCCTATTCCACCATCTGGAGATTACCACTGTGAAGACATGGCTGTGATTTCTTCCTGTGAAAACCCTTTCAAATCCAGAGAAGGGTATGCAAGTGCTTCATAAAAGGTAAAGGACCACACACACAGTCTCTTATTTCATAGTTCATTTTAAGGCTAGAGAAGAGACTTTGCCCCTTTTCTTTGGGAATTTGTCCCACAAAGGGCACTCTCAATGCAATTTTAGAAGGAAATGGGACTCTTCGGGGGTAGGAAAGATCTTAGACCTCTCCTCTTTATGTTTATTCATTTATTGACTTTTTTCAAAGAGCTATTTATTGGGGCCACCAGGTGGTGTCATGGTTACAGCGCTGGACTCCCCCAGAGTCAACTGCGGTTTGAAACCTGGACCAGGTGGCTCAAGACTCACGCTGTGCACATATGCATGTGTGCCCAAGATCCCAGGAAGAGAACGGAATGGAGGAGACGGGATTCCAAGTAGGAAGCTGTCCATAGCTCCATCATGAACTAAAAGTGGCCAGACCTGGGTGTGAGACAGGGGTAGGACTAATTCAAGTGGAAAAATGGTTATTTGAATTTACACCCTGGGTCCAGCATGGGGGCAGGTACTGAGGTTTCAGGATGAATAGAGCTGCTTGGAACCAGCAGTTAGTGTAATGGCTATGTCGCTGGACGTCCATGTAGTCAACCGCAGTTCAAGTCCTGGACTCAGTGGCTTATACTCACACCGGGCGTGTGTGCATGTGTGCCCAAGATCCCGAGAGGAGAATGGAGGAGAAGGGATTGTGGTGTGGCCATCCCTCCCAGGTAGTGATTTCTCACTTTCTGTCTCTCTGCCTGTGTCTGTCTTTCTGGTGAGCATACGCACCCTAGAGCAAAAACCTCTCAAAAAAAAAAAAAAATAGAGCTGCTGGCTTGCAGGAGCCCAGGGTGGCTTAAAACTCACGCAGGGCATGTGAGCATGTTGGGCACGTGTGTGTGCGTGTGTGTCTCCTCCTCCTGTGGAGGACACAGACAAGCAGGACAGAATATATTGTGCAGTGGAGCCAGCAGATGGTGCAGCAGGTATATCGCTGGACTCCCCCATGGCCTACCGTGATTCAAGTCCTAGACCCGGTGGCTTTGAAATCATGCCATGTGTGAGCATGCCCAATATCCCAGGAGGAGAATGGAGAAGGAATTACAGGTGGTGTGGTGGTTGGGATATATATATACATATATATATATATATGTATATATATCATATATATATGAGATCTGTGTGTGCTCATTTGCCCCATCATTGTTGCTATGTGGGAGAATAGGTCTCTTGTTGAAATCTGAAATTTCTTGGGGTAAAAAATTTATCTGCAGGGTTCCGATGTGGCTTGCTCAGTACCTCAAGCCCGAAAAGATGAATTACTCCTTGGAGAAAATGACATTAAACTTATTTCAAATTCAGGTGCCTCGAATTGGCAAGCCACAAGAGTTAAAAACAAGGGGACGACCACTGGGGGATGGCGTCTCGGCCTCTGAGAGGGGAACAGTGCGGCAGGCTGATGGATGATAGCTAAGCGTTCGCCGGCTACAGAGACAAAATGCCAGATGACGTCGAAGACCTCGTGTGACATTCTGAAGATGCAATAAAAGATGTTTGTTGATTTCTGGTTTTGTTTTTCAGTTTTTTTTATGGGATACAGGCACTTGCCAGAGAGAGACAGAGCAAGAAAGAGAGAAAGTGAGAGGGAAAGTGAGAAAGCAAGCCGCCATGTCCAGAACTTGAACCGTAGTTGGCCATGTGGGAGTCCAGCAGCCCAACTACCACACCATCTGCTGACCCCCTCCCTCACCTTTTTGCTAGAGGGCATGTGCACTTGCCGGAGAACCAGAGAGAACGAAAGCAAGAAGTCACCCTCCGGGGGGATGGCCACACCACAATCCCTTCTCCATTCTCCTCTCGGGATTTTGGGCATGCATGCACGCATGCCTGGTATGAGTTTTAAGCTGCCAGACTTGGGACTTGAACCGCGATTGACTACATGGGAGTGCAGGGATGCAATCATTATGCCATCTACTGGTCCCTAAAATAAATTTAAAAAAAATAATTTAAAGGCAGAATTCTTCTATAACCTGAGCATTGCAAAACAAAATATCCATTGAGTCAAGGGGGTCAAAGGTGACTAAATGCCCTTGATGTAGTGGTTAAGCACTCTCACGTGATGGACTGCAGTTCGAGTCCCAGAGCTGGTGGCTTGAAATTTATGTTGGGTATGTGTGTGTGCATGCCCAAGATCCAGGGAGGAGAATGAGGAAGGAATTGCTGTGTGGTCAACCCCCTGGGGAGTGATTTCCCACTTTCTGTTTCTCTAGTGAGTGCACATGCCCAAATAGGAAAAATCTCTCTCAGACAAAAAAAGGAGAGAGAGAGAGAAAGAAAGAGAGAGAAAGAAAGTGGTGTCTTTTGGGGCCAGTAGGTGACATGGTGGCTAAGGTGCTGGATTCCCACATGGTCAACCATGGTT